ACAACCTTTGCATATGCTCCTTTTTTGAGAGGTGTATTCCTAAAATGGGGATCTAAAAAAAAGCATGTAAGGTACTTGTCATCATCAAACTCTTTGAATCTTTCATTCATTACTTTAAAGCAATGATTACGGAATGTTTGATTGAATGATTTTGGTAATTTTTTTAAAACTGCTGCCAATTGTACTAAGTTTAAAAAACAATCAGAAAGTGTGGCTGATCTTGATTCCAAAGCTAATATTGCTTTCCTTAAAGGGTTCAAAACAAATGCAAGGATTCGTAAATCAGAAAAAAAATTTCTCCCTTGAATTATATGTTTTACTTTATCATTTAATAAATGATTATGTTGAGAAGTAATCTCCTCAAGAACTGGTTCTAGCCTTATTACTGATTCTACTGACTCACTAGCAGTGGTCCAGCGTGTCTTGCAATACATTTTTATCCCTCCTCCATTAATTTTGTTTTCTTTAATTAGTCGGAAAAGCACAGCACCAGCTTGATGAGAACTTTTAAAAAAAGTGGCTAAATTATTAACCCGTCGTAATAAGCGATCACCAAAGTTCTCTTTGACAATGTCACATGCAATCAAGTTGATAGCATGTGCTATACAACGAACATTCTCTATATTTGGATATTTCTGTTGAATAATTGCACGTGCATTTCGAACATTTGAGGCATTGTCTGAAACTATGGCTGATATTCGATTCACCCCAATACTTTCAATGATTTCTCCAATTACCATGGCTAAATATTCTGCAGTATGAGAAACTTCTGACAAGTCAGAAAGTTGATAAAGATATTCTTTTCGTGAAGGAGTCATAATTACAAAATTCCAAATTGAGCGATGTGTACCAGAGGTCCAGCCGTCAAAGGCTAAATTATATCAACATTAATATGTTTTTTTTTTTTCTTTTTCTAGATGTGTCTTTCTTGGGCAAAAATTCATCAAACGTCACAATTTGAGGTCAATCTGGTGTAAGACTGGTAGAATATTTTGACATGATATGAAGGATGAAATTCAATCAAAGTTATTATGACTATTATGGCCTAAAAATCTTTCTCTTGATGAATTAATTAGTAGTTGAAATGAGTTAACTTTTAAAACTAAAGAAAATTTTGATAAAGTGACTAAACAAAATCAAGAATACAAAGAGAAAATTAAGGCATTAGAAGCAGGCCAAGAAATTGTATCATTATCTAGCAAATAATTCTCATCAAAATAATTCTCGTCATCCCCTTTCTCTTTCTCCTCCTCTTCATCATCAAAATCATAATTATCTTCTTTACGGATTGATTGTTCTATTTCATCACGTCTTTGAGGAGTTTTAGGATAATGGAAAACAAAATTGTGTCCACTTCCACTTCTCGAGTTAACGACTAATAATATAGCAAGTAGTGAATTAACCATTTTTTTGAGATTATCACGGGACACATAAAAGGATAGGGCAGAATATTTTTGACCATCCCCGTACAAATTTGGCTAGGTCACCAATTAGAAAAAAATGAAACAAACCTTTTTGAATGATTCCAATAAATTTAAAGAAATTTGATGTTGTGAATGAAAAGGATTATCCAAACGATAAAGAATTAATTGAAGATATTGATGTTATAATAATTACAGGCTCTTGTAAGAATTTTAATAATAATAATTTAATATATATTTCTCTAGGGTGATCAATAACGTTGTTTTTTTAGCCTTTTCTGTTTACGAAGATGTTCCTTGGATTCATAAACTTGACAATTTTATTTCTTTAATTTATAATAATTATCGTAAAGTCAAATTAGTTGGAATTTGTTTTGGTCATCAGATTATTGCTAAAGCTTTAGGTGGAGAAACTCTAAAAAATCAATTGGGATGGGAGGTATTTTTGTATTTATTATTTATTTAATTTTCAAAAAATTTGTTTTTCTAATAATGATTATAAATAGGTTGCTGTCACTAATGTTTATTTGAGTGAAGCAGGAAAACATATCTTTAAAACTAATAAAAAAGTTTTGGTAATTCAAAATTATTCTCACAATTAATTCATTGTCATTCACATGCATACACTCACATATATTTCATATATATAATTTATTTTAAAGCGTCTTCAAGAAATGCATCAGGTAATAAATTATTAATTTATATAATTTAACAATTTATTTACTTGTTCACACATTCATGATTTATTGTGACAGGATCATGTAACAAAAATGCCATCAAATTTTATCAATTGGGGAAGTACATATGTATCACAAATACAAGGAATGTTTAAAGAAGGACATGTCTTGACTGTTCAAGCTCATCCTGAATTTGTTAGTGGAGAGGTGAAGGAAATAATTAAAAATCGTTTGGAAAAGAAAATTTATACAAAAGAATTTGCAGATCAAAAAATCAAAGATGCAGATTTAGAAGTTGATAATATATGGTTAGGAATGAAGATTATAGAATTTATGTATGGTAAGTAATAAAATATATATAACAAAATATTTTTATTTTATTTATATTAATTATTGTATTATAATTCGGTAATAGATGAAATTCAAAGATGGTAAAGATGAATGATTATTTATTTTGAAATTCTGTTCTTTGAAAAATTCTTTCCAAATAAAAAATACAAATTATTTTATTTTTCATTAATTTTAGCCAAAAGTTCTGAATCACGAAAAAGTGTATATTCCTATAATACAAAAAAAATTTTTTTTGTAATATATATATATATATATTGACTAGATGAAGTTTAATTAATTATCAATATAAAATTACATTATCTCCAACTTTTATTGTGCTTCCACCGTATGAAGGAAGAAGAACACGATCACCAGGTTTTACTTGATTTGGAATGTGTTTTCCATCCTAATCACGTGATTCAAAAATATTAATGAATAAAATCGCAATGTGAAAAAGTAAAGTATGTATTTTTATTTTTTATACCTTATCTAAGGCACCTTTACCGGTGGCAATAACCTGACCTTCGTTAAGAGCTTCTAAAGCCTTTTCAGGAATTAATATCCCAGCGGTTTGTTTTCTTTTATTATTTTGAGATATAATATGATGTGTAAATTTCATCATCATTATATTGAATAAATGTTTCTTTTTTTTTTCAACAATTAAATTTATTTATCTTACCTGCTGAGATTTAATACGTTGAACAAGTACTCTGTCAAGAAGTGGAACAATTGATTTTACATTTCTTGTTGCAGTTGCCTAAATTAAAAGTAGACAATATAAATATTAAAAAAACGTAATATTAATATATATATATATATATATAACATTATGCGTACCATTTTATTTAATTTTTTTTTGTAATGTTAACAGCAAAAAAAAAATTTTTTATTTCTAAAAAAATTTCTCGAGATTATATTTTATTTTTTCGTGTTGTGATACAATTATGAACTTCTTTCGTCTTTAAAATTTTTTTATCATGGAAATTGATGGAAAGATTTTAGCTACCAATCAAATTTAAATCAATTTTTTCTTAATATATTGATTGATAGGAAAAAAAATTATTTCTTAAAATTCATCTAAAAAAATTTATCTAAACCTAAATTTAATAAAATGTATTGTGTTCCAAAACTTTTTAACAATAAATTTGCTATTTCCACATCAACATCAAAAATTACTCATAAACTGATAAACAATTTATCAAAAGACTTTATCATTAATAACAAATCATCATTATCGCCTTTATCAAGATATTATGTTACTCATAAAGAACTAAAATTTGGTGTGGAAGGCCGTGCTTCTTTATTAAATGGTGTGGACATACTTTCTAAAGCTGTAGCTGTAACACTTGGTCCCAAAGGAAGAAATGTTTTAATCGAACAACCTTTTGGTAGTCCAAAAATTACAAAGGATGGAGTGACTGTTGCTAAAAGTATAACACTTAAAGATAAATTTGAAAATCTTGGTGCAAGGTAAAAATCTTCGAAAAATAATAATAAGAATATATCAAGCCTTTCATCACATGATTAATCAGTGTTACATATATATATATATATATGTATGTATGTAATTTTTTTTTTTTGATTTTAGGCTTGTTCAAGATGTTGCAAATAAAACTAATGAAATTGCAGGTGATGGAACAACAACTGCAACAGTACTTACTCATGCAATTTTTGTTGAAGGTGTTAAAAATGTTGCTGCTGGATGTAATCCCATGGATCTTAGGCGTGGAGTTCAAATGGCTGTTGATGCCATTGTTAAATATTTAAGGGAAAATAGTCGTGTTATTACCACAAGTGAAGAAATTGCCCAGGTAAATAAATGATATTTATAGACTGGTTAAATGTTATTAGTTAAAAAAATTAACTAAAAAAAAATTTTATTGAGGTTGCCACAATCTCTGCTAATGGTGATATACATGTAGGAAACCTTATAGCCAATGCTATGGAAAAAGTTGGTAAAGAAGGAGTTATCACTGTTAAAGAAGGGAAAACAATAGATGATGAATTAGAAATTACAGAGGGAATGCGATTTGATCGTGGATATATTTCTCCATATTTTATCACTGATGCTAAATCTCAAAAAGTAGAATTTGAAAAACCATTGATTCTTTTATCAGAGAAAAAGATTTCTGTTTTACAAGATATTTTGCCAGCCTTAGAAACATCAGCACAACAACGTAGACCACTATTAATTATTGCTGAAGACATTGATGGTGAGGCATTGGCTGCATGTATATTGAACAGACTTCGTGGTAATCTTCAAGTTGCAGCAGTTAAAGCACCTGGGTTTGGAGATAATAGAAAATCCATTTTAGGAGATTTGGCTATTTTGACTGGTGGCACAGTTTTCTCTGATGAATTAGACATTAAACTTGAACGAGCAACACCTGATTTATTTGGATCAACTGGGTCAGCCACAATTACCAAAGAAGATACAATTTTTCTTAATGGAGATGGAACAAAAGAAAGTATTCATCAACGTTGTGAACAAATACGTGCAGCTATAAATGATCCTACTGTGTCTGAATATGAAAAAGAAAAATTACAAGAACGTTTAGCAAAATTATCTGGTGGTGTAGCAGTGATCAAAGTGGGTGGTTCATCAGAACTTGAAGTTGGAGAGAAAAAGGATAGATTTGTTGATGCATTGAATGCAACAAGAGCTGCAGTTGAAGAAGGAATTGTACCTGGTGGTGGTGTTGCACTTTTGAAATCAATAAAATGCCTTGATAATTTAAAAACAAGTAATTTTGATCAACAATTAGGTATCAATATTATCAAATCAGCCCTTACAAAACCAGCAAAAACAATTGTTGACAATGCAGGTGAAGAAGGTGCAGTAATTGTTGGTAAACTGTTAGATGATCATGTAAATGATTTCAATTATGGCTATGACTCTGCTACTGGAGAATATGGAGATATGATTTCTCGTGGTATTGTTGATCCTTTAAAAGTTGTCAGGACTGCTCTTGTTGATGCTTCAGGTGTTGCAAGTTTGTTAACAACAACAGAATGTATAATCGTTGAAGCACCAGGTAAACTATTATTATTACTATTACTATTACTATTATTACTATTATTATTATTACTATTATTATTATTATTATTACTATTATTATTATTATTGATATAAATTAATTTATTTACTAGATGAGAACAAAAATGCTGGGGTAGGTGGAATGGGTGGAATGGGAGGTATGGGAGGTATGGGAGGGATGATGTAATGAATAGATTACCAAGTAATCTTGAACTATGCAATCGATTTTGGTAATATTAATTAATTTGTTATAAAGCAATACAATGTTTTGATTGATTATCATTATTTTTTTATAATTTCCTGCTTTTCAAAATTTTTATGTTCAAACCATTTTTGCAATCTTATATGGCATGTTGCAACAAAGTGAACATTTCTACTACCAAGAATTTCAGGGTTCAACATCATCATCATATTATTACTATTAATAATTTTATAATGTCCCATCTGTTATCTTTGTTTTTTCTTTAATGGTATATTGAACTACTTCTATATAAAAACAATTAATATGAAACTAATTTATATTGGATCTACTATGGAACCCAATAATTACAGCATCATCAAAAGCATTTTGAAAAAGGAACAAGGTGAGAAAACTGCTCCCTATATTTTGATGCTCAGATACTTGAGCTTATCTAAGAAAAGAAGGATTACCTACGAATTTATCAGAAGAAAGAAAAACCATAACCAATAAAAGAACATTAATGCAAAGCCATGAAGAACCTAGTAAGAAAAGAAAATTTGGAAGAGAAATAGTTTACTACTTAACTTAGGTTAATTATCAGCATAGATGAGTGTCCCACATCATATAAATTTTCATATGGATGGTTGGGGGTGTTACAAATTATAATAAACACAAAAATAGTTGACCACATATAGTTGACT